GCTGTGGCTCTCAACATCTCCCCCTCTCTGTTTAAACAACAAGCATGTGGCTTAGGGACCGTGTCTGTTAGGCAGTCCAATTCAACATATGGTCCTTACCCGTCATCGGATGAACTGACCTCTAGGCGTCAGCCTCCTGTCTTAGGTGCTTGTGTCTCTGAATGTTGAATTCTCATTATTCCAAAAATATTAGAGATGTATGAAAAAAGAAAGGTAAAGAGATCTCTTGCTTGATTAGGCACATAAAATGACTCATTTCTGATGGAGAAAATATTACTGAATTTTTTACTGAGCAGGTCTTATTTGTTGACATTTAACATCTGTGTAAGCATGGAAAAACTAAACTGTGGTGATCTAATCTTGAAATAAATCTTAGTTAAGATTAGCTTAATTTTCATTTTCTAGATTCTCATGCATAGCAGAGATTGCTATGTAGAATGTCTAATAATTTGGCAAAAATTCATTTAAAAATATTTGTTACACATCTGGTAAGCATAGGGTATTATACAAAAATAAATACCCTCATTCTCAATAGATCAGGTAATTTCACAATATTTGGATCACTGTGAAAGAATTATATGCCTGTTATTAAGGGAGCAAAGAGTAGAGATACTTGATTTATTCTGTAAGACTGGGAAAGGCATTCCAAGAAAAATGCCTGAATAGACTTCTGAAGGACAAGTAGAAGTTACCCAGGTGAGGAAGTTGAGATGAGTGGGGTTAGGGAGACTAGCACAATGAAATTCCAGGGAGAAAGCAATCATAAGCAAAGGCAAGAAGGTATGGATAATCATGGAAAGTCCTGAGAGTTGTAAGTAATTCTGTATTATCAAAGTCAAGAGAGAGACAGTTGAAACTGGAGGATTAGAAAAGACCTAGAACACATAAGAACTTCAGTTGTCTTTAGGTTTTAGTAGGTGAAATGGTCCATCCCTGCCATCTCCATGAAAGGTTACTCAGAATACTCCAGTTGACATGACTATGGAATGAGGGATGGCCTGGGTTCTCATTTACTCAGTTCCTTCATTAGATTATCTTCAGACATCTGTTATTGGCAGCTTTTTTGTTATTGTAATAAAATGCCTGAAATAACTTAAGAAGAAGAAAGGTTATTTTGTACTCATCTTTGAAGGACTCAGTTCATAATTGATTGGTCCCATTGCTTTTGTGCCTGTGGCAAGGTAGTATTTCATGGTGAGAGCATATGGCAAAGGAAACTGTTTACCTCAAGGAAGCTGGGAAGCAAAGAGAGAAAGAGGAGGGGCATACCACCATATGACTGTAAGACTTCCAACTAGGTCACACCTCTTAAAGGTTCTGTTATCTCCCAGTAGCACCAGGGACTGGGAATCAAGTATTGGTAACATCAAATATTGGTGTTTGGAGGACACTTACTGACACCATAGCAGCATCTTAGAGAATTCCCTGGATTTGTTAGAGAAATTCCTTAGAGCTCTTCCCTTGCTATTAGAACTCTTGCTTTCTGTGGAGTCATATCATTATTTTTCTCATTCTGTTATCTTTCTTTTTCGTTCTCTTGGGAACCTTTTCTTTCCTTCCTGTCTCTTAAATATAGGTTCTACATAAATTCCTTTTAGTGATTCTCTTTGAGTTATCCCTTTATGATAAGTACTCTCAAATATTTTTACAGCCAGTTGTTTTTTTCCCCCTGAGCTCTTAAATGTAATGTATCCATATATATATGTGGTATTAATAGTTATTTTTGTCTTGATGTATCATAGACACCTGTAATTCAGTATTTTCAGAACCTTTTTTTAATCTTTGCTTTCCAGTTTCTTTAAGTGTTAAAAAGTTTTACTATATTTTGTATAGTAAGAATAGTTAATATTGTATCTATCATTTGAGCACTTGTATAATACACTTAAAAATTTTACAGGTCTCTAAAACTTGTTCATGTTGTTTTATGAAATTTTAGGTCTGTTGGTTAGTAACTCTCCATTCCCACTCCCCAGCTCTTGACAATCACTATTTCACTCTTTGATTCTATGAAATTTCACTACTTTAGGTACCTCATATAAGGGGAGTCATAAAGTATTTGTCATGCTTGATATGATTTTAGTTTTCTTAAATTTATTAAGGTGTGTTTGGGTGACTTGTGATCCATGCAGAAAAAGTTTTGCGTGTGCTTGAGAATGACATATATTCTGCTGCTGTTGGGTTAAATGTTCATCTATTTTGTCTATAATGTTCAAGTCCTGCGTTTACTTTTTGATCTTTTGTTTGGATGTTGCATTTATTATTGAAAGTAAGCTGTTAAGGTCTTTTACTGTCTGTATTGCTATTTATTTCTTCATTCAGTTGTCAGTGTTTGATTTATACATTTAGGTGCTCTGATGTTGAGTGCATATATGTTTAAAATTGTTACATCTTTCTATATGTTGCTCCTTTTATCATTATAGAATGTCTTTCTTTGTCTCTTGTGACAGTTTTTGAATTAACTGATTTTGCTTTGTCTCTTATATTGTTTTTTATCATAGTGAATCTATCCAAATGTTCAGGCTGAACCCGGGTCACTCCTTAGGTTTTGCTGATCATCAGTTTCTTGCCATTTTTTAAATCTGGTTCCTCCTCTGATTCTATTATTATTTACTTAAGGATCTTTTATAATTTCTTATCTGGATTATTGGAATATTCTTCTGACTAGTCTTTCTATTGTCAGTCTTGAACCCTGTTGATCTATATTCCCTACTGTTTCTATTCATCTTTCTAAACCCATTCCTCAGGTTTTCTTAATGTCTTCTAGTTGCCTTAGTATGGTATATGTTCCTTTAGTGTGGTACAGTAGACCCTCTGCTTTCCTCTTCAGTTATATCTGAAGCTTTTTTTTTCTACCCTCATACTTCATGACTAGGCCTATGAAGCATCCCAGCTTCCAGCTTTTTTTCTTGTCTTTCCTCCTTTTTTCTCTTTGCTTACATGGCTATTTACTGTCAATGGGAGTAAATACTTACTGTTTGAAGTCCTTAGCTGGAATTCCATGTATTATTTTCCCAGAACTTTGTAACAGATTACCAAAAACTAGATGACTTACGACAACAAGAATTTGTCTTTGCTCCATTATGGAAGTTAGAAATCTAAATTCAGGGTGTTAGTATTTTTCATGGTTCTAGAGGAGACTCCTGTTTTGCTGTTTCTAAGCTCAGGAATCTGCCAGCAATCTTTGTCATTCCTAAGTTTATAGATACATCACTCTAATCTTTGCCTTTCTCAGGTCTTCACAAGGTCTTCTTCCATGTTTGTCTTTGTCCAGATTTCTAGTATGACCTTATCTTAATTTGATTATATCAGCAAAGATCTTATTTCTAAATGAGGTCACATTTATGGGTATCAGGAGTTAGGTCTCTGTATTAGTCAGGGTTCTCTAGAGGAACAGAATCAACAGGAAGTATAATCATAAAAGGGGGATTTATTAGGTTGGTTGTCTTATGTGACCAGAAGCTGGATAGTCCACAATGGCTGTATACAGGCTGGAGAGCTGGGAAAACGAGTGGTTGCACAGTCCAAGAGGTTGAAGCCCCAGAACAAGAGGAATCAATGGTGCTACCCTAGTCCTAAACTGAAGGCTTCTGGAGAATCACTGGCAGAGTCTGCTTTGGAAGAGTGAAGGAGTGAGAGTTTGATATACTCAGATGATCACAGCAGCAATCAAGAACCAGTTCAAGAAGAATTGAGCTAGCGTCTGCTGCTGCTTCCTTGTTCTTCCAACTTTTATTCTGTCCAAGCCCTCATCCTATTTGATGGTGCTGCCACGCTTAGGGAGGATCTCCACTTCAATTGGCTATCCCTCATTGTCACACCCAAAAGCCCCTTAATCACCAGCCCTTCTTAATCCAATCAAGTTGAGGATTCAAATTAACCATTGCAGTCTCTAACATATCTTTATAGGGGATACAGTTGCACTCATAACACTGTGTATGAAACCTTTTCTTATTCTGCTGTTACTTCCAAGGAGAATTTATCTCACTGTCAGTTGTGTTCTCACTATATACCTGTGTACCTTACAAAAACATGTCATTCTTAATTGCAAACACAAATACCTCCCATGTACTGTTAATATAACCTTTTTACATTTATTGCTATTTATGCTTCTTCAGTTGGAAGCCTGAGCTAGAGTAGAGACTTTGGTAGTAGAGGTGGAGAAGTTTGTAAGATGTGTGAGAGAATTCATAGGACTTAACAGTTGATTTAATTTAAAGAGAATGAGGGAGTAGAGAGAGTAAACAAGGATGACTTTGAGATTGAATTGACTCAAGATATTGTTGTGCTCCTAGAAGAAATAAAAAATATAGGAGAACAGATACTTAAATTAGTTTTGCACATACTGAATTTAAAGTATATAAGTAGGGGCTGGGCTGTGGCTCAGCAGTAGGACACTTGCCTGGCATGTGTGAGGCACTGGGTTTGATTCTCAGCACTGTGTATTAATAAATAAAGGTCTATCAACAACTAAAAAATAAAGTATATAAATAAACACTTTTTCTGCATGGGAACTCTTTTTTTTTTTGGTGGTGGTGGGGGTAGTTTACCTAATATGTGAATTGAAAAAATAAAGATCATGTTAAATCCCTTAAAGTGAATGACTTTAAACTGTCTGTAATAATCATAAATTAAAAAACCCTAATTGTTAAGTACAGTTGTTACAGTTCTGCTTCCTTGCTTAATGTTCTTTGTTTAAGTATTTGTATAGTGCTAGATGTCAGTCATTCTTTTTAATAGAAACATGTTCACATGAAATAAAATGAATTCTAGTTTCTTCTAAGAAGATTGCTGCATTATTAAAAAATAAGTTTGTTTTATGCTTGCAATAAATAAAGTATCAGGATGTGCTGTAGGATTGCTGTTGGTTGCTAAGTGTATTCCATAGCATATATAAATTTCTGTTTTAGACTCGTGAACAGGAAGAATTGGAGGAAGCTTTAGAGGTAGAACGGCAGGAAAATGAACAAAGAAGACTATTTATACAAAAAGAAGAACAACTGCAGCAGATTCTAAAAAGGAAAAATAAGCAGGCTTTTTTAGATGAACTGGTATGTATTAATATTACTTGTGATTAAAAAAATTAGTCTTCAGGATATACCTTTATTATTTATTGTGTTGGATAATGACATTTAAATGGCATTTCCACAGTGTGCTGTGGTTTACATTTAGTTTAGGTGATTATTTGTTGATATCATTAAGTCTATTGCTGAATAAGAAATTATACTCTCCCCCAAATTAAAAAGAAAAACCAAATAAACCACTATCAACAGAATAACATTCTTTTATACTCATATTTCTGTGGGACGAGAATTCAAATGGGTCTCTGGGGCTGTTCTCCTCCCATGTATTCTCAGGGCACCTCCCTAGGTGGTTTTTATAGCTGTGTAGTTGGGACTATAGGAGGGAATATTCTAAGAATAAAGAAGTAGAGGCTGGTAATGTATTAAGAAGTAGAAGCGGGAGCTGAGGTCGTGGCTAAGCGGTAGAGTGCTCGCCTAGCATGTGCGAGGCCCTGGGTTCGATCCTCAGCGCCACATAAAAATAAATAAATAAAATAAAGATATTGTACCCATCTACAACTAAAAAATAAGTATATGTAAAAAAAGAAGTAGAAGCTATTAATGTATTAAGACTTGGGTTGAGAAATTTGTGCAGGATCAATTTCATCATATTTATTAGTGAAAGAGCCCATTCAGTTTCAGGAGGAAGGGATATAGATCTTACTTCTGGTGGGAGGATTATGGCCATCTTTAATCTACATAGTATGTGCTTGGAAAAAAAATTCTCAAAATTGAATGTTGTGGCTTTGTGCTAAGGTTTATAATAACTCTGGTTACTCTGATATAACTTGATTTCATATTTTATATGAGAAAACAATATTTTTGGAAGAAGTGTTGTTACAATATTGGTGTTTTCTAGCAATCAGCTCCGTAAGTAATTGTTGTTATAATAGCAATAATTAGTAAAGTTTGTGATGTGTTTTATAGATTTGATACTGTATTATAACTCTGATGCTTATAATCCTGTATAATATTGATAACATCCCAAACTAGAAGACCTTCCTCTCTAGGAAAGTCTTTTTATATTCTTCCCTTCCCATTTTTGTCCACATAATGAGTTATTTATTCAGTGTTAATACACTTATCACATCTAATTGATATGTTGTTATTCTCTGGTGAGATAAATATATATGCATATATTGTTACATTGTGCTTTTGTCCCCAAAAGCATCTAATCCAGTTAATCAGGAATAAAAAGAGAAAGCAAAATTACTTAATTTTAGAAATAGATAAGAAAGGAAAAATAAGAGATTAATGAGGTTTAGACAGAAAATGTTTATCATAAAATCCTATCTAATTTCTGTGAGTGGAATGTGAATATTATTATGAAAATGAGGGCAGAAGCATATAAAATAGAATAATGGTGTTTTCCCTAGCAACTTTCATTAGTTCTTTCTTAAAGTTATTAAGTGGAAAGTATGGCTTTAGAAGCTGAAATGATACCTGTTGTGTTTTGCATTTTTGTAGATGTGTTTGGTAAGAAATTGAAAATTTTAAAGGATGAATTAGTAAATATCAATTTTTATAGTTATTTTATTGAAAGATTCTTCCCCAATCATGTTATACAAAGAGGGAAACACTTTTTTGGGGAATAATGCTTGTCTTTATAGATAGTTGAATTAATACCAAGTATAGAAATTTGAGATTACATGAAAATATACTTTTAGTATTTTATGTCTGATTAATAGAAAGGGTTTTCAGATTTCATTTTGAAGTTAGCTAGCTTTGCATAGCAATCATTCTTGCATATTTTTTTGTCCTTAAAAGTACTAAAGTTTGCTGCCTCATTGAGCTGCTGTTGGCATGAAGCTCCCCTTTAATTCAGTGAGGCATGAAGTATGATGTGAAACTGCCAATGTACATTGTATATAATCTGGAGTTAATATTGGTTTTTGTGAGTCCTTTCCCCCACTTCCTGTTTTCTTCACCTGCAAGTCATTACCACACATACTTTGCTCACTATTTAGGTCATATAACATAGTGGTTAAATAATTCTTAGTAATTTGCTGTATTCATTAGTACAATTAATTGCAACAGATTGGTTTAGAATACCACTGTAGTTGGATTTCTGGTTTCCATTTTAAAATTTATTTTTAAAGATTCTTAATTACATTAATATTTCAATCTTTATTAATGTTTTCATTATAAATATTAACATAAATTTCTCATATCTTTTTGAACCCTATTAAATAATGTATTTCTTCTTCTGTATGTGTTTATGTGTTAGATTTTATTAAGAAAGAAAATATCTAGCATTATATTTGTAAATATATCTAGCCTTGAATCTTAGCATTATTCCATGAACCTAATTTATACAAGTACTACTTACTAAATTTTTTTTTCCTCCTGTTTTTGAGTTTAGTTCTTGTGCCAAAAGCCACTTTTTAAACTTTAAAGAGCAATGGCATTACATTATACTCTATGTGACAGGATTTTAATGTTATGGTCTTAATGTTTATGGCTTAGCATTTGCCATAATATTGGCTAAAAAGTCCATTTATTTAATACTAACTGTAAATTTAAATTTTTTTAATGGTTTGGAAAGAGATTTTTAATCAGGTCCTGTCTTATTAAATCTTTTTATATTCCCATTTGAAAATTTTGTTCAGTTTATGTCTTAAATTTTGTATGGGCTAATATTGTTGTCAAATGCAGTAGCTGATTTTTATTAGAAATATTGTTTGCCAGATGGCTTGCTTAAAGTCAGTTAAAATAATCTTTTAAAAATGGTCATTATGAAGCTTTTAATGAGTATTACAGGCAGTCTTATTAAAGTTTCTTTAAATATTAAACATTGTCCCTTCGGGCAGTTATAGGTTATGGAAACTTTCAATGCAAAATGTAATACTAAGAAGTATGAAATAACTTGAAAGATGGAATTTACATGTTATATATTCCTCAGAGTGTATATTTTTTACATAGTTTATTTTACCCTATAGATATTTTTTGTTGTCATGCATGATTCTAGTTTTAACACTCACAAAGGCTTTCATGCTTCAAGAGTTTTTAGTACTAAAGTAGAAAGAATTAAGTTAGATTTAAAGTAAATTCTATGCTTTAGTATTAAAATTAATTTTAGATACCTAGAATGTTTATTTTTATTCCTTTTATATGAATGTGAAACCAGGATTGAAGTAAACTGGCTTAATTAGCAATTTTTTTTGAAGTGAACATGTTATCTTGCTTTCATATAAATAAGTTTTGCTTTTTAGAATATATATCAGTTGTGGATGAGCATATACTTTCTAAGTTGGAGAGTAATGATTTAACTTTTTAGCTAAGATAATTTATATTTCCTCTGTTAGTTTCTACATATGAAAAGGTGGAATGGCTTTTAAAAGGCTTTTTAGGTCTTAGTCCAGTTAAAAAGTTTTTTAATTTAAAATGCTTAATGGAAATCTAAAATAGCTTCAGGGATTCATAGTCCTGTTACTACTGCATTACTAATGCTTTGTTGTAGATATTCAAGCATATTCTTCTACAGTATTTCACTAACTCCTTCATTATTGCTAAAAGTAGGTCTCAATGATTTTCTCTCTTAATAAGGATACATTTTATAAGTAAAATTTGTATACTTCCATTAACTTTTTTTTTTTTATATTGAGGATTTAATCCAGGGAAGCTTTATCACTGAGCTATTTTTTATTTAGGCTCTCACTAAGTTACTTAGGGCTTCACTAAATTGCTGAGGCTGGCCTGAAACTTGCAGTCCTCCTGCCTTAGCCTCCTGAGGTGTTGAGATTACAGGCTGTATTTACTTTTAGAAGTGTGATCCTCATGATATTCCTCTTGCAAAGCACTTCTGTTACAAAATTGTGTTATGCCAACTTTATTCTAGGATGATACTCTTGAATTAAATTGCTTGTTATTTTGAATTACTTACACACTGGAACCTTAAATAATTGCTTTTATTAGCTCCATTTGTGCCTAAAAATTATTAAGTGGTATTGTGAAACATTAATTGTAGAGTTTCTTCAAAATTAAATTCTGGGTGGTGACTATTTTAAAAATCTGTACTCCCACACCCCTACATCCCCCCTCCTTTTTTGCAGTGCTGGGGATCAAATTTAAGGGTCTCATTCATGTTCCAAGCAGTCTATGACTAGGCTATACCTCCAACCCTATCTATAGCCCATTTTAACAATATGTTTTCATAAATAACCTTGGTATAGGAGATAAGAATGTGTACTCCATATTTGTTTACAGATATGGAATATGTGTGTGTGTGCATGTGCGCACACGTGTGTATGTGTGTCTGTGTTTATGTGTCACAGGGAGGGAAAAAAGATCACCTTCTCTCTAGACCTACCTCTGCATATGTTTCTTGGTTATTATTTAACTGACAAGTCAGAAAAAATTTGTATGTAACTTAGTTTAGATATTAGCTTTGCAGCACTTCAAACATGTAAGACGTCTTCATGTGTAACAGGATAAATAACAGTACGTGTAAGAATCAGTCAGAGATTTGCTTGTTTTAATTAAATATGTGTGTGTGTAGATTTGTGTACATGTTGATCATGGTTTATTATCAATATAAGATATTAAAAATGTTTATAATTTTGTTACTTAATTAAAAAAATTTAGATTTAATTTTTAAAAGTTAGTAAAGAAGAAAATAAAAATACATTTGATTGTACATACAATAGATCCATTGTGCAAAATAGAGCAAGGATCATTTCCAAACAGCCTTAGGTGAAATCTAATGGGAAACAATTTTAAATTGGTCTGAAATCACTGGTAAAAAGAATGTGTCTTAGGTAAACATCTGATCTAAGTTATAGTACTTTGTACTACTCTTTTTGTGATTAGCTTCTTTTTTTTAAATAAATACAGTTGGTGGCTAGATGAAATATGACCCTATTATATTGTCTTTAATGTGGATTTTATAAAAATACTTGTTTGCGGGTTATTTTGATTTATGAGTCTACAACAGCCTTTTTTTATTATGGAATGTTAATATTTTCTGTAAAGTGTTCTCCAGAAAGTGAATATTTAGTCCAATATCAAATACTTACGGAAAAGGCTTACTTTAAAAGTTTTGTTCCTATTTAGCTTGTCCTTTTTAACTTTCATATTGAACTTGAACTTTTCTTATAGGAGAGTTCTGATCTCCCTGTTGCTCTGCTTTTGGCTCAGCATAAAGATAGATCCACCCAATTGGAAATGCAACTTGAGAAACCTAAACCTATAAAACCAGTGACGTTTTCTACAGGCATCAAAATGGTAAGCCTTATTTTAATTGCTTATTTAAAAGATATTTTCAGAGATTATGCTTTATAATTCAATATTAATTTCTCAGTAAACGGAAAGGTATAGATGTTTAAGAACAAGATCTGATGTAGATTAGATGTTTGCAAATATGGACATGCACATTGTAAGGAAAGTGAATATTTAGCAAGTATAAACACAGTTTTATTGAGTGTGATATTAGATTTGTATTTTTTTTTAATCTCGTAATTTAGGAAAATATTTTTTTAAAAGAAAATGCTTAGTCTCATTAAGGAAGTATTTGATGATATAGAATAGGAAAACAAATATCAATTTGTATTTCTCTGCAAACAATTCTCTCTCTCTGTCTCCCTCCCTCTCTATATAGATAGATAGATACTTTTTTAGAAGCCATTTTTAGCTTCTAGATTGTTGTAAGGATAAACTAATTTGAAATTAAAAAATATTTTAGCTATTCATTTGAAAGAAAGATTTTATTCGGTTATTTCTTTTGGAATTGTATGCTTTGTCATATTAGTTTTAATATGTATTTAACATCCAGATTTTTGAGATAGAGCTATTGTAAAATATATAACTTTTATATTAGTGAATTAATTTAAAATAGTGAGTGTCATTATAGTAGTATAAAAATGTGGCAGGATTTTGAAATTGTAGTTAAGATAGTCAACTAGTTTTGTAATACAGTAATTCTTCTTGTATTTAGTATGTCTGTACACACAAATTCTGTGTAACACTTTTAGATTTTCCTCTTTTTCTCCAAATGTTTCCTTTAAAATATAAAACTAAACCAACCAAAGCTTGTAGGTTACTAACTTTTTGTGAAATGATTATAGGGTTTAATTTAATATTATGCAGTATCAAGTTTAGAGAATAACATTTCTTATTTAATCTTGCTATGCTAAGTTATGCTCTCTGTATTTTTCTTTCTCTTGCTACCATGGTCCCATTATTATTAACTCTTGAGCATTCTTTTATATTAAGACTTACAATCATTGTATTAAAATTATCAGTTCACCTGTCTCATTATCAATCTATAAGCTTCTAGAACTGACACCTAATAAGCTTTTCATGAATCTTGGCTAGAAGCCTAGGTAATTGAGTGAGGGATGGATGAACAAATAAATAGATAATTGATTAGAATAGTACCTGAGTTTATATATTACATCAACCCTTTAGTGAATTATAATGCATATATGCTTTTTTAAAATATTTTGCTCACTGAAACTATTTTTATTAATTTCATGAGGTGGATTTTTTTTTTTTTTTTTTGCAAATGTCTAACATCAGGAAGCAGTAAAAATAAGAGCAACAGAAAATGTAGAATAGTTTTGCCATAGTTACTGTTCTGTTAGTGAATGAGTGAAAAAATGTGTTAGATTATTGAATAAATACATTTCTTCGTCTCTTGGAAAGTATCTTGGGTACTTCTCTGTAGTCACTTAAAACCAAGTTGGCACATTCTTTTCTAGATGCACTCTGTCTGTAACTTACAACCAAACTGTGTTTTGCTTATGTTGTGGTTGCGGTCAGATTCTCTAATAAACTACATAAGAACTCATGGAATGAAGAATTGAATTTTCACTTTTTTACCCTGGCATTACAATACTCAGGCTGATAGAGTTTGCAGATTTTTTGGTTGACATTTTTCATTATATGCCTGCATTTCAAAGCTATTGTTAATACGTGCAATATTGAAATGGCTGAAGTTAGCTGAAAACATTAGTCAAGTCAATGATTTTCAGTATGCAGTCCTATGCTTAGATGACACACAAAGCTGTACATTTCAGGTACATATCCTCTGTTATAAGTTGAATGTGATTAGTGTATAGGAATCAGTATTTCAAAAACATTATCAAAATACATTTCTTTTTTAAATTGATTTTATTTTTTAAATACATAGCAGTGGAATGCATTACAATTCTTATTATACATATAGAGCACAATTTTTCATGTCACTGTTTATATATAAAGTATGTTCACATCAACTCATGTCTTCATACATGTCCTTTGGATAATAATGTCCATCACATTCCACCATCATTGCTAACCCCCTGCCCGCTCTCTTCCCCTCCCACCCCTTTGCCCTATCTAGAGTTCTATATTCCTCCCATGCTTCCCTTCCCTACCCCACTATGAGTCAGTCACCTTATATCAGAGAAAACATTTGGCATTTGTCTTTTTGGGATTGGCTAATTTCACCTAGCATTATCTTCTCCAGTGCCATCTATTTACCTGCAAATGCCATGATTTTATTCTCTTTTATTGCTGAGTAATATTCCATTGTGTATATATACCACATTTTTTAATTCATTAATCTACTGAAGGGCATCTAGTTTGGTTCCACAGTTTAGCTATTATGAATTGTGCTGCTATAAACATTGATGTGGCTGTGTCCCTGTAGTATGCTGTTTTTAAGTCCTTGGGGTCCTTGGTCTGTACTCAAAGTACATTTCTAATTAGAAATAATATTCTAATTTTTAAAGGCCAGGGGCTATTTTTCTTTGTTTGACCTCAACAGATAAGGTCACATATATCATACTTTTATCATTGAAGTTAATAATATATTGCTTCCATTTTTAACAAATGTATAGTAGCTGCTGCTATTTTCCAGTTCCCTTTCTTTTATAGTATATATAATACTGAAATAAGATCTGGCTTAATCTTAACTAGAAGATGCAATAGTTCATCTTAAGTTTTTTGTAACTCTTTAAAATAATTTTTTTTAGTTGCTAACTACAGTAGTTTGAAAATCTATATGATTCAATAGTAAGTTGGTTGTACCTCCAAAAATGTATTTCATCAATTTGTCCCCATCTCTGTTATCCTACGCTAGTTACCATCATGTCTTTCTTGGACTCCTGTGGTAATCTTCCATCTTATCTCTCTATTCTTCTTTATAATCTGTAACCTTTTTATGGTTCCCCAGATGGATTGATGATGGTAAATAAACAATGAAAATATGAAAACATCACCTCCTTAATGTATTTCATTGCTTTTCCAATATATTTAGAATAAATTCCAGAATATTAATCAGTCACTTTCTCATCTGTAAGAAAGTGATATTTGTACCGAAAAGTGAATGGTGAAAATGAGTTAGCCAAGTAAAAATCCCAGCAGAGAAAAAGAAAAAAGCAATAGCAAAAAACTTAAGGTAAGAAACAGATGTATTAACAGGTAGTGTTAAACATTAAACTTTTCACTGTCCAGGCTAAAGCATCTTTCTCTTATCCCTACCCCTGTTATTTAATACCTTTTAACTCTTTAAAACATATATCACTATTAGAAGATATTTTATAGACACATTGTTTAATGTTTATCTCTACCATTAAATATAAACTCTGTGAACCTAGAGCAAGGTGTGTTTCTAGCACCTAGAATAGTGTCATATACATCATGGTTCTTCTTGAAGTATTTTTGGATGAGTGAATGAATCCTACATATTAGGTTCATACTGAATTTTTAGTCTGAAGATCCTGATGTACTTTTCTTTATTCTGTTTGAGATGATGTAGCAAATGTATTTATTTGTGTATATTGAACTGCCTTTATATCCCTGGAATAAATTCAGATATGCTATTGGATTCAGTTTGCCAGTATATATATATTTTTTAAAATTTGCCTCTATATTCATGAGGGATATTAGTATGTAATTTCCCTTTTTGTGTCTTTGTCTGGTTTTGGCATCAGGGTAATATTGGTTTTATAGAATGGTTTGGAAAAATTCCTCTTTTTTTTTTTTTTTTTTGAAAGAGAGAGAGAATGAATTTTTTTTGTAGATGGACACAACACAATGCCTTTATTTTTATGTGGTGCTAAGAATCGAACCTGGGTCCCTCCTGTGCTAAGCGAGCACTCTACCGCTGAGCCACAATCCCAGCCCCTCTTTTTTTTTTTTTAACACTTTTTTTTTTAATAGTTTGAAAAGAATTGGTATACATTTGTCTTTAAAATTTTGTTAGAAATAGTAAGGAAGCCACCCAGTCCTGGGATATTCTTTTTTGAAATTTTATTAGGGATTTGATTTTATTGCTCATTAGTACTCTGTTTAGGTTTTTCTATTCATTGTTGGTTTTGGACACTGTAAGTTGGCAGGCTGTATGGAGGGCTCTCCCGGAGGCCAGGACTACCACCTAAGTAGCCATTGGGCTAATTACAAGTACACTGGAGCAAGTTGGGCCTACCATTTCTTTGCTAAATTTTCTAGAAGGTTGCCTGGCCACCTGTTGGACTGAGTGCAGGTGAATGTAGGTTGCCAACTGTCTTGTTTTCCCTTTTGTGCAATTATTCCTATTCCCTGAGGGGATCAGATGCTGTTTGGATTTTTAAGCTAAGATTTTTTTGCTGATTTTAGCCTTCAAGCATTTGGGGTTTTGGTATTGTAACTATTGACATTAGCTTGCTAGAACACAGGTAGAATACAATGGAAATATACCATGACTAGCCCCCAAGTTGACACAAACTCTAGCAGTCAGTCTGGTTTTAAAATGGCACCCAGTTGGGGTTGGGTGGTAGAGCATTTGCTTAGCATGTTTGAGGCATGGGTTTGATTCTCAGCACTGCATATAAGTAAGTAAAATAAAGGTCCATTGACAACTAACTAACTAACTAAATAAATAAAAGGCATAGAGCCATGGCAACTTGGTTATGGGGGTTGGGAGAGAGTATAACATGGACTTCTACTCTATGGCTGATGAATTCCATGCTACTCTTCACGTTTTGTTTGGGGACTCTAGGGACTGCAGAAGTCTCTTGAATAGTTGTCTCCATTAGCAATGAGGATTATACAGGATATATTTAGAAGGCTTATGTGGTTGTAAGCCAGTCTGGGTTGGGAAGCAAATATGGAAGAGATAGGGTGCTTTACTCTTTTCTCTATGGTGTTACCTTAGGTTTTTGATCCCCATAGGGATCTTGGTACTTCCCCTTCCATTTTCCAGCATAGTTCCCTGTATTCTGTCAAAATTGGTTTGTTTATTCTTTGAGGGAATCAAAAAA